TTGGTTGGGTGAAGTGATTAACAAAATATTTACACGTGTCCTTTCGAGTTGTTTCGAGTCCCCTGTATTTTTTTTGCTGCGAAAATTCTAATATGCTCTAGAGCATCAATACATCAAAGTTTTCAACCGTTGGATTTAAAGGTTTTGATCTAATGGCTCAAAATAATTTGTGAAGAAAAATCACTAAAATCACCTAAAAAAACTGGATAACCTGCTGTAGTGGGTTTCTTTGCCTCCCACACGTGAAAGCTTGCATTTCAACCTAGAAATGGCAAATTTACAGAGCTGGGAAAAGATGAACGTGGGATATTGCAAGCTCAGTCCCAGAAACCCACACCAAAAACCATGGCTTCTCCTCCTTAGGTACCCCCCCACCCACCTAACCGACGGCAACCCCATCTTCACCGGCAGCCAAGCCTTATCTCTCTTCGAGCTCTCAAATCGGACTCAACACGGCTTCCTCACATAATAGTGCATGATTGGCTTGAGATGCCGCTACATTGACATTACTGTGTCATAGAACTTCTCATGGAAAGCAATTAAGATTCTGTATTATTTATTTAGCCAATCTGAAAGTATAAAATCTGATCCCAAAGAAAAAAACCTGAAAGTACAAACACAATTAACATAGGAGAAATCTTGACCAAAAAAAAAAATTAACATAGGAGAAAGTACAAACACACAAAATACAAAAGAATCCATAATCCAAATCTTAAAAGCTAATCATCGACATACATCTTCCAATTGCTGAAGTGACAGATGCAAACTCGAATTTTATTACGTGCAAATTAAAACACACACAAAAACATCAACTGCAACTTATGAACATCAACTTGGGTATTATTTGAATTTCAAAAAGAGCAAATAAGAAGTCAAAACAAGACGAACAAGTTCTTCCCACCCTAAACTCATGGGTAAAATCTTCAATCCCTGGACTTGTTTCTGCAAAATATATAAAAAGACAAAAGCAATATTGTGATTAACAAACAATTTATTGGTCTCAAAGAATCATTAAGTTTAGGAAAGTTTAGGAAAAGTGAACGAGAACAATTTCTTGAACACAGGTGCAATATTCCACATCCTTAAGTTTAGGAAAGTCAATGAAAGGATAAAAGATACTTACGTATATTTCTTACATCTCTCATCAACGAGTAGCATCCTTGCATGATCCACACCTCCTTCTTTTATGGACTCCATAAACAACTCTGACACATTACGAAATTTGTATCGTTGTAGTTGAGAAAGGTGCTCAATACCCTGGGGCAATGTTTCTAACCTCATGCAACTATGAATGTCTAAGAACTCGAGATTTGGCATCGCCCCTTTTTCTATAGTTATCTTATTTAATAATGCAAGATTCTGAAACCTCAAATACCAAAGCTTCACAAAGTCTCTGTTGAAACATAACTCTTTCCTAACATAGGCATTATCAAGCCAAAGAGAACGTAGAGAGGGCAATGCTTCAATATGAGGTAGTAAATCTTCTTCAAGTCTAGACCCACGCAGATTCAAATATGTGAGAGAGTGGAGTGAACAAAACCAATGTGGTACCTTTTCCAGTTTGCTGACCAATTTAAGTCTATCAAGGTAGGGAGGCAGTGAAGACAATGCGTCAACTCGAAGAAATTCCTCTCCATCAGCTACAAATAAAAACAAGCGGGAAAGGACCTTCATTTCTTGAATTGAGGCACATAGGTCATCCTCGTCTCTTTCTTTCACATTTGTAATGCCAAGGAACGTAAGTTGGGTCATACTTCCAATAAGTCTAATAATGTTTCCTTTTGATTCAATATATGCCAAAGATTGCAATTTCTTCATCTTACTAATACTTGATGGTATTCTTACCCCAAAAAAAATTACCTTTCCAGAAATGAACCTACCCGCAAGTAAATGGCGCAAGTTTAGCAACTTGGAAATCCCTCTTGGAAGTGCCTCTATTTTTGTCCCCGTGATGTTCAAGGTCTGAAGGTTGCCAAGCTGTCCAATGGATTCCGGAAGCTCCGTAATTGGAGTTCCACTCAAATTTAAATATTT